AATGGCTGACTGGCGGCCATTTTGTTTTAATGATTGAGCCATATCTCTTAAATGCTTTGACTGATTATACATGTATTCAAATTTTATATATTGGTTATACATCATGTTATATATATACATGTATTGAAAATTGCTAATTTTGAATGCTGCTCCAGAGCAATATCTCTCAATATGGACAAGTACTTGTTTGACGATCAGATACAAATGTCAATCATTTTAATGTTAAAAAATCATATTCCTGACATGGCTATATTCCAGCTATATTACTACATGTATAAACAAAACTAAAATTTGATAACTAACGGGGACTGTGCCATGCATGGCTTGTTTATCTTGTTTTGACAATTGATTTAACCATAGATCCTCTACTGGAGGGTGTATGATTTAACACATTACACAAGATTTCACTATGAGCCGAAAATGGTCTATTGAGCCTAGAGAATATTTTTGTTTTTATTGCAGTCTAATTTATCATTACTAAGACCCAGTGATGCTATGGAACATTTATATTTATCACCTGGTAATGGTTGTACAGCTGTGGATCTAAGTGGTGCACCCCTCTATTCTGATGGTAAGTTTCATACATATACTTTCATGTGCATCAGAACACTCATGGCATCAATATATGGTAGTGATGTAACTTTCAACTTTTCAACAACATGGCACCATCATTTAAGCTGTCAGAGTGATGATTTCTGCTTCTATTCATTTTGACTAAAGAAATATTCCAATCTACATGTACATGCATTGCTTTAAACACTTTTTTTCCTTGCCACATACTGATAGTTATGATTCATATCATGAGTAAAAAAGATTAAAATTTATGTATCGTTACAATCTCTGGTTGGGATCACCAGAGATGTAAGGTGACACACACATCAAGGGATGTCACCTTTTACAATACATTTTTTTTTTAAATTCTCTTGACGATATCAATTTCCAAGCAATGTTTTACATGAAAATTAGAATGTAAAGTAATAAGATAAAAATTACATTTTTTTTTTTAATGCCATGAATTAATATTTCCGTACCAAGAGTTGACTCAGGGCGTGGTTGTGAAAACTGTTGCTTATACAAATAATGTTCAGAAAAAAAATGACAAAACATTGCTCCCCTAAAATATAATCCATTATTCAAAGCATTGACCATGGAGACATTTCAGATAAATAAGGTACTACATGTGTATTTAAAAATGTGTAATTTGGTAAAATGAAATTCATGTTTTATAAACAAAACTAGTGTATAAAAACATATTACATATTTCTGTATATTTATTTATTTCACCATCTTAAATTGTTGAAATAAAGGATAATATATAGGCCATGAGAAAATACACAGTGACAAATTGGATAAAAAACAGAATAAGAATAATTAAAAGTACTCAATAAATAAATATTTTCAACTGTATGAGCAAATAGCAACCAAAATTGTCATAATAACCAGTGTTCTCCCCAGGATGTAAACAGCGTGGCGGTCCCGCCACAGTGCTACGATTTGCCGCCACACTGGTCTGACACCGCCACGGTGATTAGCAAGACCGCACAGTGCTTTTTTCATTGGGGATCTCGTCACGCTGTCGGCCCGACCGGCACTAAAAATTAGCGACCACCACGGAAACGCTTCCGACCAGGACTATTGCCATATTGTTATTATACTTACGTACCGACCGACACGCATCCTGCCAGTCGTGGATAATAATTTGTAAACAATAGACATAGTCCTGCAATTGAACAATACAAGTCAATTTTGTAAAATTAGCACCTCTTTGTTTGTAAGTAAATACTTTCTGACAATAGACACAGTCTTTAAATTGAAAGCTAAAATTCTTTCAAAATCAATTCCACCCGATGCAACATGGGCAAAGCGGAGTTCACGATCAGTTTACGCTACTCAAGAAAAAACAACGAATAGAATAGAATAGAATAATGCTTTATTAATACCGTAAAGAAAGATTTAACATTTCTTTTTAGGTTTTCAGATTAATAAAGTAAATAATAAAAGTACATGAAATGTAAAAATTGATTTAAAAAGAACGTGTTTATTGCGTGATTGGGTAAAATACATTTGAACTGTTACATCGTGAATCATGTAAAAACTCTTCCTTCAAGACTTCTTTTACCTTTTAAAAATTTCTAATCACCTCTTTCGAAAACCATCATGCAGTTTTCATCTGAAATTCATACCAACACATCGTGCTACGACATCGCTTTACTTCCGCAATGTAATTTTTATGATCACGATCATTCGGAAAACTTCGGGTTCTACCGGCATTACCATGCGGCATTCTGATTCGTTAATGGCGTTTTTGACCCACCGGGTCAAAGGACACATGCCGGTCAACTAATGTGTCATAACTATCATGGCGGGTCTGTGTTTTTCATCGAAGTGATCGAGTGATCAAAAATAACTTCTCCCGATAAAACTCGTTCAAATTTTATGTTTTTCTCATATAAAAAAAAAGTATTTAATTTTTGCATGGCATCATGACTGAGTAAGAGGAATTATTGGTATAACCTGTGTATAACATCGCGAAGTAAGTTATGTCACGTCGTAATTTTGATGATCGTTTGGAAGTGTTATTTGTTCATTGTAGAAGCTGATGATCGGAATAATAACCAGGAATCCGCCAAATAATTACGTGGTCGATTTTTTGAAGGAGAATTTTGTAGTAATTAAGATCATGAAAGTCGTGAACAATATCCTGGCTCAAACGTTTTAAATTAGTTGCATTTAACCTTTTACAATTTATTTGTTTCTTTTTAGTCTGCAGCATTTACATTTCGAGAATGTTAAATTTTTAAATTCAAACTCTTCTATATTGTGGAACGTAATATTTTGACTCCAAAAAAAAATATATTTGCACTGTGACGGAGCTCATTAATATTACAAAAATGCCCAAAATAAAAGTGTTTATAACACTGTGTGAAGCAAATAAATATCTGCCACTTTGTTTTTTAAATATATGTTGTTTATTGTGTGTGTGGGTGTGAATGTGCTTTGGTCAATTTCTATTATTATGTAAATGATATGCACATTATATGCAAATTAGGCTGCCACAGTGGTAAAAATTCCTGGGGAGAACACTGATAACAAACAATAAAAAGAAAAGGTATTGCAAGCAGATATTGCAAATGTTTAAGTTAGTATAATCATTGTGTAAAATAAAAACTGGTGAAGGCCATAACATTCTTGTTCATGCCTCAAGTCACTCAATATATACAGTCACATACCAAGCAGTCCAATTTGACTTTAAAATCAGTTCTGTTGAAGAGCACACTGTATGTGATATATATATGATCTTCAGCTTTAATATAATCATGCATTTCTATGATTTCATGGGTTTCCTAGTCAACCATTCTCAGAGAGAATCTTTGACACATTCTCATTTATATATGCCAATCGTATTATACATAATTCATATTATTATTGGAGCATATGACAGCTATGTTACCCGTATTGTAATGATTGTCTATTTTCCCCTAGATCCCCTCATAAGTAAAGATATACTAACCATTGGTGAGTGTGTACGGTTAGTGCGTCAGAATATCAGTGCTGATATGAAAAGTGGATTTCAGTATGATATATTCCAGTCTGAGTCACCTGAGAATATAGCACTTCAGATTGCTGGTGGTTTGTTTGTAGAGTCAAGGTAAGCACTGTCTGCTAATCAGTTGTTCCAAATAAAAAGTGAGTGAAAGGGTACTGTAAAAATCGGATAATTTATGGGGATTGCAAAAATAGTCTGGGTGTAGTAGGATAGTGAGTACGTATGGTTAGTTCAAACTTTCACACAAGAAAAAATAAACTATAATTCAAAATCAGAATACAGTTTAAGTATCAATAAATTCACTTTGGATACAAAAGTTACTGTCAACTCATCCTGGAATCATTTTTTCTATTCAACATGCCATGCAATGTTGTTTCTCTTTGGTATCTCAGGTCACTCTTTTCAGAGACAATGTGGCCGACGCTAATGTCATTATCTATTTTGTGTTTTATTTTGACAAAATAATGGGAGAATCATGTTTTTTGACAGGTGACCAATACAATAAAAGTGCCAACTTGATTCAGTAGATTGATAAATGAATAATTAATAATCACTCATTTAGAGTTTTATACCTTGTCATTACATTAATGCTGATCCGCACAGTGTGTAGGAGTAGTTAACAATCATGAAATATACAGTTTCAGATTTTGTCAGAGATGGGGGTGTGTAGAATCAGGATATAATTAATGTGGTACACATTATTAAAAACTTAAAACATAATGGTGCGGATTTTCATATTGAACCATCATTTGAGCACTAGCTCTTCCAAAAGGGGAAGGTAGTGTTTTTGATTGTTTCTTGACTATTTTATATTTTACGGTCATGTGTGTCAATGTCATTCAAACTTATTACATGGACAGTGCTGGTCACTTTGTATTTTTGTATACAGTACTATTAAAAGTGCATCTCGTATTAGAGCACATGTAAGTTAATAGTTGCATTTATTGTATACCAAATTACCATATACATGTACAAGCACACACACTCCTGAATATGTAATCGTGTTTATAGGACTATGTCAGTAAATTCATATTTCTAAATGAATTCATATGTCTAATGCATCATATTGTTGGTTTTCACAGTGCAGACACATCACAATCTACACAAACTGCTTCTCAGTTTATCCAAGATTTACAGAATCGCATCCAAGGTCTGATGGAACCAGTGAGAGTTTTATCTTCATTGCTGGGCTGTATTGATGTTTCAGAAGGCCAACCAGAAGCCCTATCAATGGAAGAACCTTGTAAGTTGCTTATCTCATCAGACAAAACAAAGGCTTATGTTTTGAGTTTCATTTTAAAATTTGTACATGTATATATAGCTCTCCGAAATTTGTATTTTATATTTACATTAATAGAAATAGTTGTTAAATGTCATTGTTCATGTTTTTCAGTTTTAGATGCCGGCCGTCATTTGACATGTAGTCATCTTTTTGCTAGCGAGAATTCAGCAGTTATTTTATCTGAGATTTTAAAACAGTCAAGTTTATTGAGATACCAATTTTGCCGGGATCTATTGGTCTTGCTTTATCTCATGCAGAAGATGGGCCAAAGGGTATGTGTCTGTTTTATAACATTTTGGGTTGACCTGGAGTAAGTCTGCTTTATAACAATTTGGGTTAACCTGGAGTAAGTCTGTTTTATAACATTTTGAGTTGACCTGGAGTAAGTCTGTTTTATAACATTTTCGGTTGACCTGGAGTAAGTCTGTTTTATAACATTTTGGGTTGACCTGGAGTAAGTCTGTTTTATAACATTTTGGGTTGACCTGGAGTAAGTCTGTTTTATAACATTTTCGGTTGACCTGGAGTAAGTCTGTTTTATAACATTTTGAGTTGACCTGGAGTAAGTCTGCTTTATAACAATTTGGGTTAACCTGGAGTAAGTCTGTTTTATAACATTTTGAGTTGACCTGGAGTAAGTCTGTTTTATAACATTTTCGGTTGACCTGGAGTAAGTCTGTTTTATAACATTTTGGGTTGACCTGGAGTAAGTCTGTTTTATAACATTTTGGGTTGACCTGGAGTAAGTCTGCTTTATAACAATTTGGGTTAACCTGTAGTAGTCTGCTTGGATAAATGATATGTTTGATAACTGATAATTTGGATAATTGATATGTTTGATAACTGATAATTTGGATGAATGATATGTTTGATACTGATAGTTTGAATAATTGATATGTTTGATAACTGATAATTTGGATAATTGATATGTTTGATACTGATAATTTGGATAATTGATATGTTTGATAACTGATAATTTGGATGAATGATATGTTTGATACTGATAATTTGGATGAATGATATGTTTGATACTGATATTTTGGATAATTGATATGTTTGATAACTGATAATTTGAA